ATACAGGGAATCCAGGGCGGATGATCCCTTCAGGACCAGTGGTGTGAGTGGCGATACTGGGAGGGTAGAGGGAGAGTGGGTTGGAAAGAGGGAACTGATTATAAGGAAATATATGTGTCTGTACTCCAGGGAGGATGGACAACAGAAAAGTGGGTGAAGGGAGACGTCAGACAGGGCAAGATATGAAAAAACAATAATTTATGAATTATCAAGGGCTCATGAGGGAACGGGGAGCGGGGAGGGAGGGGAAAAATGAGGACCTAATGCCGGGGGCTTAAGTGGAGAGGAAATGTTTTGAGAATGATGTACAAATGTGCTTTACACAATTGATGTATGTATGGATTGTGATAAGAGTTGTATGAGCCCCTAATAAAACGATTGAAAAAAAAAGAACTTCAAAAATAGTTTAGTGGGTAAGAAAATTAAAACTCAAACAGAAATAGAATAAAAAAGAAAAGAAATAAATATAGCTAAGTCAAGGTTGAAAATTAGGAAAGGTAAAACGCATCAATATGTTATTATTGTTTTGTACCTCAAGAACATGAACTCTAAGAACAAATAAAGAAAATAAACTTTTTGACCCAGGCCACAAGGCTGGTGAAGGTTGGAGTCAGGTTAAGGACCCACTGTTCTGAGAGCAGCAGTTCTCAACCTGTGGGTCACGACCCCTTTGGGGGTAGAATGATCCTTTCACAGGGGTCGCCTGATTCATAATAGTAGCAGAATTACAGTTATGAAGTAACAACGGAAATAATTTTATGGTTGGGGGTTACCACAATATGAGGAACTGCATTAAAGGGTCTCGGCAGTAGGAAGGTTGAGAACCACCGTAGTAGAGCCTATGATCTTTACCGCTAGGCAGGTCCACTCCTGGTTATCTAACTACTTTTTTGGAATTGTGTAATTGTGGGGAAACACCAAGGACCGTGACATCACCTTCCCACGGGGCGCAGGCCAGGATGGTTGTTTCCACGTGGCAGTCACAACAAGCACTTACCTGAAGTCATTAGTAGGAACAGCGATGGAGGTTCGCATGAAGCCACTGGCATGGGCCTGACACGCTGCATCCACTGCAAGGACAACAAGCAGCAATATCCCTCAGAGTTGCCCCTTCGTACACACACACCTGCAGTCGTCCCCCCCGCCCCTCCATCCCTCCACAGGTTCAGGGTCTTCTTGTCCCACAGCATCGGGGAGAAGACAGGTGGGGACAACTGTTCACTGGGAGTTTAGGGGGAAGCTTTAGCAGTGGAGAAGGCAACCCCTCACAGTGATACGGCCCCGACTCTGTGTTAGCCCCTGTGACACGTTCATTTGCTTCAGTTTCTCACAGCTGACCTAACGAGAGATATTACCAGCTTCATTTTGCACAGTAGGAGGCCAAGAGTTTAAGCAAGTGCCCTAGGGTGGCAGAGAGAGGGGAGAGGATGAGAGCCATCAGCTCTATGGCCTGTGTCCCTAAGTCCTGCTCTGTGGTGGGACAGGCTATAGGTCAGACAAGGGAGGGTGAGGGGCTTGGTGGGAGTGAGCGGGACAACACAGGAAGAGCAGGAAGAAGAGGAATGAGGGAAGCCAGGAGAGCTCTGAGAGGGGGCAGTGGGGGCACATAGAAGGGACCCTACTACAGACACTCCCCTCCGTGAAAGTTCCAGTGACAGAAAAGCAGACCATCTTTTCCTGAAAGAGAAGAACGGCTCAGGCTTCTGGGCTCCCCCTAAGCCTCCACCCGACCTCCGCTCTGTGGGCCTGCCTCAGGGAGGAAGAAGCAGGTGCTTACTCCCTGCACACATATATACTCCACGAAAGGTCCTGCTGGGTTTGGGGCAAGGCACCGAGGAAGTCAATGATGTCGTGTTTGGTATACTTCAGCTAGCGGAACCAATGAGCTGTGCAAGGGGGAGAAGGAAAGGCGAGAGACTGCCTCACTCACCTAGTCCCCATGCTTGACTCCTGCACGCCCTCCTGACCCACCCAGTCTTCCCCCTTACACACTTACCAGGGTCCTCGAGTTTCTTCATATTCCTGCTACCCCTGAAGTACTCACCGTAACTGTTTCTCGGAAGGAAACAGGAAGTACAGGTGGGGCACTGGAGTGCCTGCTGGAGAGTCACAGGGTCCAGGAATGTCGTCAGATCTGTAATACTCACGGACCTGGATCCTCAGAGTTGAAGGAAGTGGTCCAAGACACCCGGCCCATCATGATAGTCATAGATCCAGTAATACTTGTGGGAAAGCAAAGGAGACAGGATTTTTGTGTTCTGGGTCCCTAAATGGACTCGAAAGTTCCCGTGAGCAGGCCTGTGACTGGATGACCGGCTCCTTATCAGTCCTCCATGAATTGGGGCTTCAGAGGGGACTTACTCGTGCAAAAACTCGTAGTTGCCTCTTTCAAGAATTCGAAATCTGGAGTCATCCTAGCATTGGAGCAAGACAGGCCATCGGAGCTGACACGCCTTGCAACATGCCAAGAATTGCTCTTTCCCTGAAACTCACCATGCAGCGGTTCATTTTCTCAAGGGTGTCCATTTCAGTAGAAACTGAAGCTGCTGCCCCTGCTGGTGGCGGTGGCAGTGGTGGTAGAGGTGGTAGCGGTTTGGGTGGTGGTAGTGAAAAAAATTTACGACCTGGGCAAAGAAAGAAAGCAGCAGTGAGTGGAGATACTGGGAGGGTAGAGGGAGAGTGGGTTGGAAAGAGGGAACCGATTACAAGGAACTATATGTGACCTCCTCCCTGGGGGGCGGA